TTTTTTGTTTCTCTTTCATTCTTTCTTCGTCTGTTTCTTTTATCTTCGCCCAATGCTTAGATACCATATATCTACCCTTAACTACCCCAGAACCATATTCATTTGGATAATCTAAAAAAAAAAAAAACCAAATATTAACAAACCCACAGCGGAACAGGAACAGGAGCCCTCCACCCAGCCCTTGGAATAGGCGAATACCTCGACAAACTGGTCATCGAAAAAGCCAAAGTAGCAGGCATGGGTCTCGGGAGAACGCGCACGCGGCTATCGATCCGCACGCTGGCGCTGAGCGGGTTCGTGGTCGATGCGGATCCGTTTCTGCAGTGGTTTGACTGCGGGAAGCTGAAGTGTGTGCGGTTCGGGGATGGGTGTGTGGATGCTGGGTTTTGGTTGGGGGATGATATGGGGGGTGTTACTGTGGTTTGGCCGGGGGAGAGTGGAGGCGAGGTTGGACAGGGGGTTGCTGGGCGGGTTGTGGAGAAAGGGGAGATTCGGGTGGTTAGGGTTCGTTGAGGGTCTCTTGATTTTATTCTGTGTCTTGTTATGGTGTCGATGGTGAGGTTGTTTGACTTGTAAGCGGTGGTGGAGAGGTAGGGTTAGGTATCTGGAGTATGGAGAGTTAAACCGTTTTACTTAAATCTAGTGTGGATATCCAAAGTTGACTTAGATCTCAATCACAATAGTTTCTGGGAAAGCAAATATCAGAGGACCTGTTCATGTATTAAAATTATTATAGCCTATCCCATCACTTTCACGCGCAGATCAACAACGCCGACCCAGTGTGAAGAGAGAACCAGACCCAGATTCTGTACAATAACCCGAAAGAACAGCGAATGTAACGAGCGTCAACGAATCCACTTTTCCGCCTTTCGTCCAATCTCAGACCGTGCAACCTCAGTATGACGTCATCCCACTTTCTCCAACTGTACCTTTTTTGTAAGGTATTCACGAAACATGACCTTCTCGTCCAAACTCGAATCTGAATGTGCTTGTGTCAGATCATGTCGCATTGCTTTAGGCGCCCTCCTCTTCTGTGATGCGAATGGCACCCTCGTTACCGTGTCCATGGGCCCAGAAACCGTCAACCAAGAGGGTACTGCTTCATTAGCTTTGGTAAATACTACAATTCTAGTATTAAGACTTACATTCCAGGTGCCGCATCATGCGCGAAGATCAGCCAGTAGCCGATAATACCCTGCAGGAAGATATCATGGATAGCGAAGATGATGGTCTCGGCGTCGATGTTGATTTTGAGAGCTAGGGCGCCGGCGGCGATGGCTCTAGATAGATTATCAGCATCCGTCATGGTTACCCTAAGAGGTAAGGAGGAGAGAGAAACATACACAGGGAACAAAGCCTTGATCAGAAGCGACACGCCCGAAACTGTACCGAAGAATCTCTTCGTCTGGGCGTCCTTGTTCACCGCCGCGCGGCCCCCGTTCACACCAACATGATACACAGTCGTGAGGTAGGCGATAGCGCTGATCGTGAACCAAACCCATCTACGGGGAGTGTGGCCGGCATAGGTGCCTAGGACGCCGGTGCCGAGCATCACCCAGTCGGCGACGATGGCGACGAGGAGATGGGCGCCTGGGAGGCCAGACAGAAGGGCAAGGTTGATGAGGGCCAGGGGGTTTGTCAGGAACCAGTTGAGGTACCGCAGCCAGAGGACCTGACGGTAGACATCATGATGGGTGTTGGGGACGTGCTTGTTGTGGACTGTCAGGATGTCATGCTTGTAGGCTATGCCTTCACCGGTTGCGAGGGCGAGATAGACGATGAAGGAGATTGTGGTGGAGATGGCAATTAGGTTATGGATGACTCGCTTGGTCTGTTCTTGTTAGTTTGGTCTTCGGTATGCATCCTTGGCTGGGCTTACCAAGGGCGCTCGGGAGGCAAGGATGTAGAAGACGACAGATGATATGGCCATGAGCACGACGACAACCCTATGATACTATCATTAGGATCTAGCTGAGTAGAAACGGCAGGGGGTGTACCATAATGTCCGTTGGCTAGTCTTGGACAATTCCTGGAAAATGGCATTATGGCCCGGGAGGACGGTGGGCACGGGGGCCACCGACGTCGGAGTAGTCGTGGGCACGGGCAGCGGCTTCGTCTTGAGGGTATTGAAGAAGTCGAGCATCTCGGCGGGTGGATCGATCATCTTGAAGTATATTCAAGGTTTAGTATCCGATAAGCTTAGTTAAGGTGGCAGCACCCGCAATGTTCAAACTGAAATCAAGATCGCGACGGGTCCAAGAGGGTAAGTGTCAGTCGAAATGAACGACGGACCAAAGGGTTATATAGAAGACGAAATATAAGAAAGAAAGAAAAGAAAATCCCTTACGAGAGACGTTCGTCATGCTGACCTCGATTCTGTCGTCATCGACCTGCGGCTTCCAAAGCAGCCAATCGCCGACTCGAATCGCACCGTCGGACAAAGAATGCAACCGTTTGATTTGTTTGCCACGGTTGCAATCCCGTCTTTTGCACGGTCAGCATGTCGGTCGATCTGGATCATGTTCCCGTGCCTTGGCAGATATAAAACCACACAGTGAGGGGTCCATGCAGCTCAGGTTATTTATAGCGGAATGTGGTTTGATCCAGGTCATCGGTCGTGGTAAACTTGGTTTCTACGCATGCAATGCGGAATGGAGCTGAATTGAAATCAGGACCTCCTTCAGGTGGTTTGATCGATCAACGTCGGTCCAAACCTCAATCTCGATATCCTCTATTTGAAACATTAATTCTCTGCGCGGGGTATCAGTCATTCCAAGTCTACCACGGACACCCTCTTCTTGGTCCTACTACCATTGCTACTTATCCAACCTAAAGAATCCGCCCCTTGACCTGCTGGATCTTCTTCACATTGACATCCTTCCACATCATCACCGATGCCAGCGTCACTGTGTACAAACACGTCGCCGCAATCAACATCAACCGCTGTGTCTCCGAATACGACCGGTTAATGGCATCACGCGCCGCACTACCAACCGGATACGACGCTTGAACCGCGATATCGCCATAAATACTCATCAGGTTTGACTGCGCATCCGCGGGGAGATACTTGGTAAGTTTCTGGGGAAAGATACCCGTCCACAGCGCCGTGGCGATGGTAGTGCCCACCGCACTGCCGATATTAATGAACATGCTTTCCATCGCCAACACGGCGGGAATGTGTTGCTGCGATGATACGGCCATGACCGTCATCTGTTCGCAGATCACCAGAGTGCCGCCGCCGAACGCGATGAAGATCTGGCACATGACGATGTACCCGATGTTGACGCCCGGTTCACGGAATTTGATCATCAGTCCGACGCCGAGAATGGTGATGGGGACCCCGAAGTAGAGCGCTTGCCATTTGAGACGGCCGTTGTAACGGATCAGGATGCCCATGAGTACGGCCCAGAAGCAGGAGCCGACGCTGTAGATATTGGTGATGTAGGTCGCTTGGCTGACGCTTTGGTTGAAGACCACAATCAGCATCGAGTAGAAGTATGTGTCCCAGAGATACCAGGCCAGGTAGATGCTGGCGGCCATGGTGTAGGTGAAGAAGACGGTTCGGTTGAGCAACAGCGACCAGGGGATAAATGTGACAGGGGCGATGTATCTCTCGTAGACGGGGAAGGCGATGAGCAGGAGGCCGCCGATGACAATGAAACATATGATCAGCGGAGATTTCCACTCGTCTGGCTGTTTTGTGTACAGATTAAAAGCTAACAGGAATAGGGCAAGTCCAGTAGTAAGGAGGAGCAGACCGATAACATCGAATTCCTTGCCGTAGTAGGCGATTGATTGCATTGCAGTGCGCTGGCTATGACGTTCGGGAATCAAACCGGCCTTCTGCGCTTTGCGCTGGTTATAGTAAAATAGGAAGAACAGAGGCGTTAACATCACCGGTGTCACAATGGCCCAGATGCCGAAGCCCCATCGCCATCCCATGGAATTCAAGATGTCTTCTGCCGCCGGTCCGTATGCCCAAACCGTGGCAATGTACGGAGAACCAACAAAGCCGAGCCAGAATGCCCGGTTCTTCAGTGCCGACGTATCGGCGATGAAGATGGTCAAGGTGAAGTCCACACCCGCAGAGCCCACCGAGTAGATCACTTGAGCCGCACAATACGTCTGAACATTATTGCACCCAGCCATCATGATGAGTCCAACAGTCATGCAGGCGATCATTAAGGCAAAGCCCTGGGGACGACCCCAGATATCAATCAGTTTAGCATAAGGAAGTTTGAACAGGCCGCCAATAAGAGTGGAAAGAATGGTGGTGGTGCCAGTTAATGAGTGTTGCTTGAAAGAGCTGGTAACATATGGAGTCAATGTGCCAATGATACCGAACGCGAAATTCTTAATAAAGTAGATAATCCAGATCCTAATGGCCATACCATCGTCAGCTTCGAGTGTCGATGTAGCACACAATACACCTCTCTCGGTAACACTCACATCACGTAGGCCAGAATCAAATGTCGTTTGGACCAGACCTGAGTCATGGCCTGTGCGCTCTGTACCCCATGCTGAAACTCCGGATTGACCACATCACTCTTGTCCTCGTCCACTTGATCGGCACGGGAGGTGGCCGCTTCCTTGGCTGCAGACTGTGGCGCAACGTTGGCTTCATCGTCATCAGGGTGTCTTTTCTCGTCGAGCGGTATCTCATCCGGCTTAATGGGTAGTCTGAACTTCATGATAGACTTCTCCCTGGAACCTGACAAAAAGAAAAAAAAAAACTGTCAGGCGGGGCAAAATGAATGGAATAGAACTCTGCGCAAGAATTCAGCCGACAAGGGGGGAATGATCTACTGCTAAATACTAGCAGAAAATTCCCCCGAGAGAAATGCCACCCCAAACCCATATAACATGGCACTGGGCTGTCGGGAATTTCCGTCCAACATAGTTTGACCAGAACGCTAAGCAGCAAATTCCCAATCTTAGTTCACAGTCTGGTCCTTAGCATTGCTTGAGTACACACCACTCACAGTGGGCAATGGCATCGTGAAGCAGGGTTCTTGCCATAGGGTCTGCCAAGCAGGGCTTTAATTCGCAGGGTTTGAAGGGCCGCATTCCCTCGCGGCCCTAGCCTGCGTTACACGCGTATAAATGGAGGGACTGGGGACTGGGGACGATTTTGGCTGGTTGGGCTAAATGACTGGGATCCATACAAGGGTGGGCCATGGGGACAAGAAGCACTCCTTATCTGATGATCTGATAAATTGAACCAACAGCGGGAGCTCGCCAGTACGCCAATCAAAGAGCGCGCGGGCAGCTCCAGTTGTTGGTAAAAAACAAGACATGAACAGAATTTTCGTTCGTGTCCAACTTGAACGTATGAGACAATTCGCTCTGCCTATTTTGTAATCGCCAATCCAAAAGAAACCTTTCAAATCCAATCAGAAAAATTGGACACTATCAAGTGCCTCGTCAAGACACCGTATGATTTGTCGCGGGCGATGAAATCTCTGCTCGCGCTAAACATGCCCTTAAATATCCTTCCATCAGAAGCCCTGGTATCATATCAAAGTAAGTACTTCCATGCCTACAAGAAATATTAATATCTTAAAAAAGATTAAAATTCTTAGCTAAATAGATAAAACTACCGTAACAAAGAGCTACTTATCGTTATACAATCATCATACGGCCCTTGCTGAATAGGCTAACCCTTCAAGTACTTGCAATGTCGGATATATATACTCTGTTGTAGTTGCCTTCATCCTAGTACTTGCAATACTCCATAACAAATGTCGTCACTGAGCCAACCAATTCATTGTATCATTACTACTCGGCCTCGATAGTCATTTATGCTTAAATAAACATTCTATAAAAGAGATGACATCCCATGCAGTGAAGAAGGTCAGAATGTTCCCACTCGACCGTTGATCTAGACCAGCACTGACTCCACTGAGCAGAACTTAGATAAATGGCATAGATCAAAGGTCTACTTATCGGTCCCTGATCGATAATTATTCAAAGGCCGCATTAAGTTATCTATTTGCAGCATAGAGCAATTACGGAATGAACTCCTTCCTGCTCATTTATGCAGGATATCATGACTGGCGAAAAGGAAGCTTTCATTCACTTCACGCTATTTCGTGTTATGTCATCCCTCCCGTAATTACATCCATGGCCGTGAGTAGCGTAGCAGAACGTGAGATAAAAAGTTCATTCCAGCTTTTCCGATCCTACAGCCAAAAAAAAGTAGAAATCCCGTAGGAAATTGGTTCAAGAAAAAAAACGATCATGCAAATTTATTTCCCCGTCACGGCACTAATAATCTAGTACTTCTTGCCCTGGCGCAGGACATCACCGAACTCCTCAAGAGGGCTGCGGATGAGCTTAGTCTCCTTCCAGAGGTTAGGAGTAAGGAAGCCGTAGGTGTTGACGACAGCAAGGAAGGTGGCCTTGAGGGTGTTCTCGAGGGTCTTGGTGGAACCGGAAGAGGAGGTGTAGGCATCCTGGACACCGGCAAGCTGGAGCAGACGCTTAACGGCGGGGGAGGCAACAAGGCCGGTACCACGGGGAGCGGGGATAAGCTATCATAGGTTAGCATGCTACTTTCACTTCCGAAAATTGCGCATTTGGTGACATACTCTGACGGAGACGGAACCACACTTGGCGCTCTGCTTGACGGGCAGAGAGTGAGGCTCACCAAGGTTGCTGCCCCAGTAACCGCGACGGACGGGGAGAACGGCAAGCTTGGCAATGGTGATAGCGGCACGGATGGCGGTAGCGACTTCCTTGGAGGTCTTGATACCGAGACCGATGTGGCCCTCAGAGTCACCGATGATGACGACGGCCTTGAAACGGGTACGCTGACCGGCACGGGTCTGCTTCTGGACGGGCTTGATCTGTAAAGCGAAAAAAAATGAACCGTCAGCGACTGCCACTTGCAATTTCCCTGATATCCATCCAAATCGCATCATCGTGTATCAAAATTCAATTCTGCTTCCTCCACCACAAAACATGCGCTTCCACACGAATTTCACTGGCCCAATTTTCCTTCGGACAAGAAGTTCGTTCCGTACCTTCATGACCTCATCCTTGAGCTTGGGGAGGAAGAAGTCCACAATCTGGTACTCCTTGATGGGCAGAGAGTGGAGGTAGATCTGCTCCATGCTGGTGATCTTGCCGGCCTTGACGAGACGACCGAGCTTGGTGACGGGCTGCCATTCCTTCTCCTCCTGCTTGCCGCCGCGACGACCACGACGACCACGGCCACGGCCACGGTCACCACCACGGTCACCGCGGGAACCGAATCCTCCACGTCCACGAGGAGCAGCGTCAGCCATGTTGGATATATATGGCGATTGAAAATGAACCGTACGGGGAGAGGTAACGGACGGGAGGGTGTCGTTGAGGGGTTGTCGACGTCGAGGTTGACTTTCGTCTCTCACTATCCACACACAACTGTTTGGCTCACGGAAATTTCGTGCGCTAACCGAGCCCACGGAAACCCTATACCCTAGGCGGTGAACCCATTTGGGCAACCCGATGACACCCGCATCATGTGACTTCGGCCTCCCCCATTGGGAGTTTTTTACTCCAATAGTCTGCGGGCGGTGGCGCTGATTGTCGCGATCCTGCTATTCTTATCGGCGGTCTGGGGGGTCATGTGTTTATTATCAAGCTATTAATTCTTTGTTGTCCTGTCCAGACCTTTCCTCAATCCCCATCCCTCATTCCGCTGTCAACATTTTTCTTCCTGTGAGAGCCATCGTCGCACTCAATTGAGCTTTACCTAGTCTAATTGACTCCGAATCCCCCTCGCTGGCAGCATGCTTCGTTGGTATATCTCCCCGTCCACATTCTGACCGGTTCCTGACGCTAAAACTTTATCTCTCAATCCAGGTATCAGGCAAAGTTGGCTAAGCAGCCCATTCTCACAGCCAGTGTGACCAGCGCTGTATGGTCGTGTTTCCGATTTTCATGCCTCGTCTTGGTTCTGACCTGTTACAGGTGCTCTTTGGTAGCGGTGATGTGCTCGCTCAGCAGGTAGTTGATCGCAAAGGGCTGGAGAAGCATGATTTTGCTAGAACCGGTCGCATGGCTCTGTACGGAGGAGGTAAGCCATTTCCCACTTCTTGGTAAGTGGTCTGGTTTACTGATCTTAATAGCTATCTTTGGTCCCGCTGCTACGACCTGGTACGGCTTTCTCCAACGCAATGTGGTCCTGAAGAACACCAAGGCCACCATCGTTGCCCGGGTTGCCGCAGACCAGTGCTTATTCACCCCTACCCATCTCACCTGCTTCTTAACCTCCATGGCCATCATGGAAGGTTCGAACCCTATTGAGAAGTGGCGTAACAGCTTCCTTCCCAGCTACAAGGCCAACTTGACCATCTGGCCTCTTGTTCAGGGTGTCAACTTCTCCATCGTGCCACTGGAATACCGTGTACTTGTTGTAAACCTAGTCAGCTTGGGTATGTTTCACTTATTTTCCGTGAGGGTTTTGTATGACACTAACATTACTACCTTTAGGCTGGAATTGTCTTCTAAGCATGATCAATAGCGGCGATAAATAAGCGAATCCCTTCCAATTGTTTGGAGACCTTATGTTTAGAGATACCCCTTTGATTGTATAGCTGATACGCCGAAGACTCTTATTTTTTTTTTCTTTGAATTGCTCCGGGGTCATAGAGGTCTTTCTTCACTTTTCATTATCTCTTCGGACTTGCTTCCTTTGTTTCAAAATTTGGGGCGCAACATCGAGAACATTTCGGATAAACAGTAGACATGCTGGATTAGAGCGGATTGTATAGTGACTGTTGTTGCTATTCCTGCGGGTACATAGATTTATAATTAGAAACCACTTTTCTTGTTCCTGTCAGATTTAATTGTCTTCAATCCGCATTGACTTATTGATCAAATCGATTATTAGGGCTGGGGTTTGGGGGAGAGCCGCATCAGCCTATAAGAGGCCTAGAATGGTACAGTGGCCCAAACGGGTAAAGTTGCACTGTCGTCAAGCTGCCGCATCTCCAAACGCTTCAAAACTTCATATCGTTCCTTCCACAGGTTCACCTACGCCCCTTCTAGAAGACGATAGCAACCGTGGTTCTGCCCGGAGCAGACGATTAAATTCCTAAGATCGCCGCGCACCCGCCGCTTTGATACTGCCCCAGTTTATCCGGGTTGCTCTTTCCTGTCGGCTTTTCCCACCTTAAAACACAAAATTTGCCTTCGCCCACCGAGACTTTTCCCTCACCCCTCCGACGACGCTCTCCGGCATACTGATCACCGCAACGTCACTCGTATAATTTTCGCTTCGCTTTATTTTCTCTCTAATCTCGATTATTTCACATCCACCATGGCCGCTGTTGCTGAAAACGGTCCCGTACCGGTGAACGACGAGAACACCGCGCCCGGCGTTGCCGCCCCCGAGCAGAAGGAGGAGACCGAGAAGACAAATGGCGACAACATCACAGTGTTCCATGACCCTGAGAACTTCAACGTCAAGCACCCTCTTATGCACGAGTGGACCCTGTGGTTCACCAAGCCTCCTAGCGGCAAGGTACGCAGTCTGACCCGCCAGTGGCCTGAAGACCACCAACACTAACGGTTTTGCTCGACTCGCAGGGCGATAACTGGAACGACCTTTTGAAGGAAGTTGTCACATTCAACTCGGTTGAGGAATTCTGGGGAATTTACGTATGTTCCATCCCTGCCATCTTTCAATCTAGTGGTGGCTGACCTCATGTTGCTATCACCAGAACAACATCACACCGACCTCTGAGTTGGGCCTCAAAGCAGACTATCACCTTTTCAAGAAGGGTATCCGGCCTGAGTGGGAAGATCCACAGAACAAGCACGGCGGCAAGTGGTCGTATTCGTTCAAAGACAAGCGTTCCGTACCGATCGATGATCTGTGGCTGCACGCCCAACTGGCAGCCATTGGCGAGACTCTCGAGAATGACGGCGATAGCGAGGTTATGGGAGTCGTTGTGAATGTGCGTAAGGGTTTCTACCGTGTCGGTTTGTGGACACGGACTGTGGGCAAGAGCATTCCGGGAGACAAGAGCGCTCGTACACCTGCTCAGGGCAAGGACGTTCTCGAGTCCATCGGCCGCCGGTTCAAGGAAGTCCTGCGTCTGAATGAGGCGGACGTTGTGGAGTTCTCCGGACACACAGACAGTGCACACAGCGGTAGCACGAGGGCGAAGGCCAAGTACACTGTTTGAAGTGTTGACGACCTCGGGTGCTTCTCATTTACGATCTATCCCAGATGAATGCCGCTTCTCTTGTTACGAGACGATAGAAGAATCTATGATCATGGCCAATAACGACGGGCTATCATGAAGGAAAGGATACTGGCTGGGGCCCCGCTCTCGCTTAGGAGTCTACAGTGATGATTGATCGTAGACGTCGACGGCATGTATCTGCTCCGTACGTATGACGAGGTTTATACCATCTGCTATTCGACTACTGTCTTCTTGATTTTCTTATGGCTGGACGAGGGGAAACTCTGATAGGAAAATAGAAAAAAAGTGTTTCATACTGCTTCTTCATGCTCTATGCCTGTTCTCCTGATTATGCGTTTGTGTTCCTTAGTTCGTCTTGATATGAGTCTTCTCTATAGATACCGTGCATTAGCAATGGAAAATACCTTTTGACTTCAAGCTCGCTCTCTGTTTACCTGGCCTCGTGTCACTCGGCAGATTTGCTTTCCGGGATGTGCCGTCCTTGCGTAGTGCGCTGAATGGAATTTTCCGAAACGGGCAACCAGCATACTATTCACTTGTTGCCCTCAGGCTCGTCCACGACAAATCTCGTCAACAGACCGTCATGATTGTGAATGAAGGTGGCTGCCTGCTCGCCTAGCACCCCCTTCTGTTTCTTCTTTCCTCCTTTCTTTCTCTCTTCTTCTTCCTTCCTCAACCTCCCCAACTCAGCCTCAACACCACATCCCCCATCTTCTTCCCCTCTCCTCCCACAACCTAAACAGCATCGACCGGATCATTACAACTGACCGGATTACCGATCAACGACACATCCGTCCACTCTACTCAGTGCGCTGAACTGGAAGTGCGAGGGTCAGCTGTCTGGTTGGGTGTCAGGCCCGACTTCGTGTAGGATTTGGACGGTGCTGTGTGGCTGTCCCTACTTCTTCGCCTTCTCCCTTTCTCTGCCCTCTTCAGATTTGCGTTGTATGAATTCGCTCTGGCACTCCAGGCAGTTGGGATTCTGCGCGTACAATCTGTAAGTAACACCCTTCCCTTCCAAGCGTTGTTCTCACTGACCGTGTTTCTAGGCCCCTTTCCTCGCTCTCTACACTCCCCAGCACAATCATTTCCTCTCCTCTCCTCTGCACCCTAGAGGGCTTCCGTTGGTATGGATTCCTCCAGGCTGCAGACTGTTGGAATTCTGCTGGCGAAAGAAGTTGTAGGTGACACCTCTATTCATTTGTGTTCGCCTTGCTGACTGTTTATTAGCCGCCACGCCCTTTCCTCGCTCTCTACGCTCCATTACACCTACACCTCCCTCATCTCTGCATAGTGTAACTTTTGCATTGTACGAATTCGCTCCGGAGCCGCTGGCCGTTGGGATTCTGCGATGTACAAGCTGTAAGTAACACTCCTCTTCCCCAAGTCTACCCTCACTGACCACGCTTTATAGACCCCATTTCCTCGCTCTCTCCTCACCCCCGACTAACATTTAGCTTTCCCGGGTCCCGGTGGTTGGGTGGTTGGGCGGGCCTGGGATAATGTTTACTCACATTGGCCTCCAGGCCTTGGTTGGGTAGGTTGGGCGGGCCTGGAGTACTAACCTCGCAGCACTAACTTCTAGCTCTCTGGGGCTCCATGGTTGGGTGGTTGGGCGGGCCTGGGATAATGTTTGCTCACATCGGCCTCCAGGCCTAGGTTGGGTGGTTGGGTCGGGCCTGGGATATCCTTGTTCTAATCAAGATGTTGTGAGTAAAATGGCCTCCTCATCCTTCTCTATTTCCAGCTTATGCTAATAAAAGAGGATTATCTTGAGGTTCATCTTCATCTGCGACGTCTTTGTCTTGGTGGGCAGGTTGGGTCGGGCTTGGGACATCATTGTTTTGAAGAGAATCTGGTCAGTGAGATTCTGTTCTACCATCTACTGCTTTTCACTGTTACTGACGATAGCCTTTGATGTCCTTCCATCGCCTAGGTCGTCTTCAGTTCGCTGGTTACTTGTGGAGGGTTCGAGATGATAGACCATACCTGTATCTTTATATCTTGCCTAGTTGATGTGGGTTGAGTTGGATGGCGAAGTGGGTGCAAGACAATGTAATTATATCATTACAAATCTCGATACCTTCAATCGGCGCTTTCCTGTAAACTTTGGCTGCAAATTAGCAGTTTAACAGTATACCGAAGATACGCTAGCATATAAGTCTCTCAAACATCTGAGCAGTAAGCTGCCGCCGACGAATAAGGAGCGACTGCTTCTACAGGACTATTAAAGTTCTAGCGCACAGTATACTAGACGGCATCCACAACTGTCCCAGTGGTATATCAACCATGGTCGCTTGAACTGATCTATCTAGGTAACCACACACTAACCATGGTACAAAGGATATAAATTCGCTCGAACTCTGGGATACTGTATTATATCTGTTTATCTAGCATGGGAAAAGCGCTTGTAAGAATTGATCTATAATAATATTGATATCTCCATAAGTTCCGACCCTCAAGTATTTCGTATGGATTAACGCCACGCAGCGCCGTTAATAGAACCGCGGCGACGAGATCCATCTAACACACCTTCAAGAGCCGCTAAGCACTGGAAAGATTTGTGTAGATTTCCTCTTTCATATTGGACTTGGAGTAGGATAGCGAACACTACAAAGAAAGTATGAGCAACACCATATCGTATCCCTTAAGTGTTTTTTTGCATGTATATCTCAACACTCGGGCACACACCCTTCAACATATCGTTATTTTCTGTCATTATCGAAGATTTCTTTACCAATACAACGTTCCTGGCCGGCGACTATAGAACGAGAGGGAGCTCCGTGCAGCAGCTAATTTGAACACTCAATGAGTCCTCGACTACATTCTCACTCAATAGAATCTCCTCAGGCAGGACTTAAAAATCCAGCTTTGAAGAGAAGACGGCGCTTCACTATGCTGCCGAGGGAGGGCATTTTGGTATCATGAAGCTGCTAATTTTAGAGGGTCTTTGAGTGTGAATGCTTCGAGGCTTCATCATCACCCCCTCTACATTATGCGGCGAGGAATCGAAATCCGAACACCGACTCTGTGGTGGAATATCTTAATTGAGAAAGAAGTCGACGTGGACTCGGCCACTTGGGCAAGAGAGTTGCCATTCTGGTACACAGTGAATATGAAAAATTGTCGGAGTCTTTTGTCGTAGCTGAGAGTTGGGTCGACCGTGCACCGGCAAAATGAACACTGTGAAAAGCTCTTGCATAGAGCCATGTAGGGCTGTGACCTAAAGAACTGTAGTAGAGACTCTTGTGGATGAAGATGTAGATATCAGTGCAAGAAGGAATACGGGTACTTCGGTTTTGCATCGCGCAGCTGAAGCAGGAAAGGTCGCTATTGCAAAGTGGATATTGAGTAATGGTCGCCTTAGTATCGATGATGTGAAGAGTTACGGCTGGACCCCGTTGTTATTCACTGCATTGAAGAATTGGGTTCTTATGGCGAGGCTTCTGGTTGAGAACGATGTGGGAATTATCGGCTTCTACTTTGTCAAGAGACTCCAGTGCTTTATACCTTGCAGTAGTATATCACAAGGAAGATGATGAGTTCGATGGGAATAGAAGAACTACATCTGATCCTTCCCTTATTGAGGATTTGTTTCAACAAGAAGACAACATCATAGCATCGACAGAACACGGCCATGAACCGAGTCTATGATGAAGACGAAAAGATGTTAGAGTAAATATATGCGAAGACTGATCAAGAATTTTGAGGCTGGTTCAGTACATCCTTGAGATTGTTCAGTTGCCTGCGATAGTTGATATTGTAATCGTGAGTGCGTTATACGAGGGACCGATACTCCATGGGACTACCCTACAGGGGCATCCTATATAGCTAGAGACCCCTTAGGGGTACACTACGGGCTGAGCCCTACAAATGCTCAATGCCGATGTATATAAAGCACGTAATAGCCCCCAGACCTTTCAGAAGGTCGGCAACTCTTTACCTCTCATAGCATACCGCTACTCGCAATCTCAATATTATACTAACATAATATCTCCGTAGAAATTCGTACCTCTTCGCTAGTACTAATATCATAATACTAGTATTATATAAAATTCAGTAAATAATAGCGCCAGGCTTACTAAGTGATTCATTGTACACGAAATGTAAATGGGAGCTGATGTTATGGTGAGAATTTGAACGTTTTATCCATGTGGAAGTTGATGTTTTGAGAGTCTCGTGATGTCACTGTACCAAACAAAGTCTTGTAGTGTTCTATGCACGTCGCTGTCACAACTCTCTCCCAACCTATCGAGGTGTCATTAGGCCAACCAGATCTGACGCTTGGACTTCGGCAAACCGCCGCCTAAGATGATGGTCAATAATACGAAGAGTCTAATGCGGGTTCCTTGACTCGAAAAAAGGAGGGATGTGCAAGGTGGATATGCTAGATCCCTCGTGTCCCTGCATACTCAGCAGTTTCGAGCGCTGGTTGGGTGGACATTCAGCTAGCCTACGAACTGTGGGGCGTCGATCGAACCCTCAGCTCAATAATGATCGACACTATCACGCCTGGATAGGGGCAGAGAACGCGAGTTTTGACGCAAGCCAGCAAGAGATCCATTAGCTCACAAAGGCGAAATTGAAACCTTATAAGGACAGACCCATCTCACCCAGACTATGCTTTTGTATAATCTTCAAAAATCCCATGTCGTTTCGCGTTGGCCATGTCCTGCCCCGAGCATAGAAAGCGTGCCGAGCGTGTCATCGTCCTATGTTTCGATGGCACATCCAATACCTTTCAGGCAGATGGCACCGAAAGTAATATCCTAAAGATTTTCCGCATGCTCAAGCGAGACGATGATAACTTATGAATGTCTCTTCCCCCCCTGTGCAGAGGTACAGGCGTACTAACATGGAGTGCAGACTGCTACTATCAGCGTACCACACCCCATTCTGTCGCCCTCGTAAAATCTGTACTAAACCAAGAATAGCTGGCGTTGGAACGGAGATCTCCCCGACCTCTCTCAGCAGCAACCCTTTGCGACGCCGCAGTAAGCTCTTCAGCAGCAAACTTGTTGACTCAGCCTTGGCTGTCTCCTTCGACCAACATGTCCTTGGGGGGTATAGATTCCTCATGCGACATTACCGCGCCGGATCCCAGATCTATATTTTCGGGTTTTCCCGAGGAGCATACACGGCTCGCTTTTTGAACGAGATGCTGGACCACGCTGGGCTGCTGTCCGCCGATAACGAAGAGATGATTCCCTTCATCTGGGAGGCATTTTCGTCCTACAAATTGACGGTCGGAGCTACAAACTTACTCGAAAGGAAGGAAACTGAGAAAGCATTGAACTTCCTGAAGGCCTGCAGAGAAACAGTTTGTCGCGAAGTAGACCGGGTTCACTTCCTAGGTTTATTCGATACTGTCAACAGCACAGCCGAATTCCAGGTCAACGCGGAGGTGAAGCCGAATTCTGAAATAATCAGACATGCATTGAGTATCGACGAACGCAGGGTCAAGTTCTACCCGGTCCTAATAGAGCCCAAAAAGGAGTACCAATTCAAGCCCCATCGGCGCCTATGGCCATGGGGTTATAGAGGCTCAAGAACTTGTGGCGGAGACAGCGATTCAGGTAAGCAAGATATTCAGGAAGTGTGGTTCCCCGGTTGCCATGCAGACGTTGGTGGAGGTTGGGACTTCGCTAAAGACGAAGATTGGAGACTGTCGCATGGGCCACTTGTTTGGATGGTGTATGAGGCTCAGCAGGCCGGGCTTCATTTCGATAAAGAAAAGCTCGATAAGCTCATGAACAGCGAGAGGCAAGGGAAAGCAGGTTCCGTGACTGGAGATAGCGAAAAACTAGCTCGGGACAGTCCAGGGGATCTTGTCAAGTCCCTTCACCTTTCGAGCACAAAAGGCGTACTGCATGATAATCTTCAACCGGGCGAGGGCATTTCAAGCAAATCAACTCGCTTTTGGTTTATAATGGAGCATATACCGTTTCGGCGCATGGTGCTACAGCTCGATGGCTCGTGGAAAGCCACTCGGTGGCCACTACATCGGGGAAGGAGCAGAGACGTTCCGAAATATGCGCAGATCCACGTTTCTGCCATTGAACGGATGAAAGCTGACACAGCCTACCGACCAATGAATATTATTCTGGAGGGGCCAGCAGATAGGAAGGGTAAAGTCTGTGCCCAATTTGAGATCGAGGAGTGGAAAGTCTGGTGTCATAAAGGCGATCGTGTGCGAGAGGTGTATGTTCGGGGAAAGCCTAGTGTATAAGTATTTTGGAAGAGGCATTTCTTTTGGGATATTGGTTTGCATAAAAGTGACATTGCTCGGCTGTGAAGGAACGGCCAAGGATACAGATAATGAGAGAAGCTAATTGAAACCATGGTCAGCCATGTCCTTTGCACCTCCTGTCAATGTTCTCTCGATACACATTTCCGGCAGTATCAGAGCACCATTTCCTTTTTTTGGATTTTTTGAAGGTTATATCAGTTAGTACTGGCTTAATTTCATGGGAAAATTGACCACATTGGGTATGAACAGTCACACTGGAAAAGCATAAGTCGTGCGTAGTGTTTGTACGGGGGATTTTGTGCTGTGGTTCGCTTTCCCAGGCTCAACTTGGTTTCCAATGTCTGCACTAACCTTTCGATCATAGCCTAAGGCATCCGCCTGTCACTCCGATCTCGCGATGTCAAGAACCCTGCTGTGAGTCACAGCCTCAATCGGAATACGGACTGGGACTGCCGTGTTCGGTATTGACTCGGCATTGTCGGAGACACCTTATTCTAAGCGATCCACGCACCTTATCACTACAACCACGTCGTCTTAACTATGTTCTTAGTCAACCCAAATAACTTCAAGTTCCTAACCAGAATTATAAGATCCTAATAGACTAGCGTAATTCAAAATAAATTATCAAGTAAACCCCAACACTTCTCATTTGCCAAAGGCATCATATCCCAACAACCAAATCACATGACCAGAATCCGCCATCAATCAATCTAAATTAGATTGGAGCTGATCCACTCACAGACCCTCAAATCAACACCGCAGCCAAAATGACCGACTCCAACACCCCCCTGATCTTCGTGACAGGGAACAAAAACAAAGTCCTAGAAGTAAAAGCCATCCTGGGCCCTACTGCCACGCTCGAAGTCCTGGATATCAATCTCCCCGAGATCCAGGGTAGTGTGGAAGAAATTACGCGTGAGAAATGTCGCGCGGCGGCTGAGACTGTAAGATAATGGACCACTACTTTACTGAATGTTTGGATTACTCGGAAGGGCCCGAGTGTGTATATTAAATGAGGGTGTTAATTGGCGTCGGGGGAACGTTAGATAGGAGGGCCGGTGTTGGTCGAGGATTCGGCGCTTGAAATGCACGCGTTGGGTGGGCTGCCTGGGGCTTATGTGTATGTATTTTCCCTTTAATTCTCTATCTTTGCTCGTCTTTGTGATTTTGCTTGTAGATATTTCGTTTTTTGTATGCATGTGTCTGGAAAGAGAGAGCTAGGAACTAATCAAACCATGTATATATTAAAGCAAAGCATTTGTCGAAACAATAGGCAACGAAGGCCTCAACAGAATCCTCTCAGCCTTCGACGATAAAACCGCCGAAGCAGTATGTACGTTCGGGTATTCACCGGGACCAGGACATGAGCCTCTTTTGTTCCAGGGTCGGTTGCAGGTACGTCACTCCTACTCAACAATGTATGTAATTGCTAGGAGTCCGCATCTAATTTCGATTGATTAAGGGACGGATTGTTCCAGCTAGGGGCGTTTCCTCTTTTGGTAAGGGTTACTTCTCAATTGAGCTACTTTGTTGGTGTTAACTCTGTTGTGGGTAGGTTGGGAACCGATTTTTGAGGTCGAGGGGGAGGGAGTAACGTTGGCTGAGATGGAGGTTGGGAAGAAGGTAGGTTTTCCGGGTTTAATGGTATTCATAATATAGTGTAAGGAAGGGTGCTGACTGGGTAGAATGGACTTTCGCATCGGTTCAAGGCGTTGGTGAAGTTTAGGGAGTGGTTTTTAGGCGCTAGAGGACCTGTTTAAGGGCGTTTGGGTGGCATAGATCGTTGTGTTTTTAGAATTGATACAGAATTCATTGAGTAGAGTCACCTATATATGTTGATTGGTAGATGTTTTAGTATATGGATTGGCCGCGCGTCAATGTGGTTTCCTGGAGAGCAGGGGCATGTTCAGTGCATCTTAGTATGCTATTGTAGAAGTGTTATTCGGCCGATATATATCTCCTGGTTGGTAAACAAGACTACTCCAACACACTTGAAAACAAATTTGGGGATTCATGATTGACCTAACCTAATAAGAGAGTGCTACCCCTAAGTCGATATAGGCCCGCAAGTTTGACCATAGATTGAGATTAAATGATGCAATTTCAGTTGACTCGCAGTCATTTCGTTATCTCCCAAGTATGAGAACAACCGGACGTGTAGCAGAACTCCGGGACGGCATTTACTAAACCTAATTGATCTACTGGTCAACGAGACTCGGGACTGCTTTCCTACCCCGATCCGGGGAGTGGTGGACCCAGGATGACTCAATGAAGTTAATAAAGGCGATCTATAACTGGACAGTTTTGAAATCGGCGTCGAAAACCAGTAAGCTTGATCAAGTCTTGTCGCTTCATGAGAGTACTTTGCTAACCTCATGGGTAAATATCGGAATGGGAATGCCATTTAAGGTACAATTATTCCGTTAAGTCCACGAAGTATATGCAGGTCTCTCAGGCCTAGAATACACCAGTGCCGACAATCCAATCAAGCCCAATGTAGCTATAGTCTGCTAGGAATATTTGACCCGGGAGGGTCCTCCAATTGTACAACCTGGAGGAGTATAGTCGCAGTTATTCCGAAGCCATAAACCGCTATGGGACCAGTCGTAATGGACACGAGACTTATGATCAACGCCAGCAACCTTCGACGTCAACCGCATGGTCGAAACTGAGTTCACTTCAACGTCTCGATAGGCTACCAAACTCGTCATTCAACGCCAAGTTTCTCCCGCCCAGTCATTATCTCCAGCCAAGAAAGTCAAGAACGCCCAGATAGGGCTAACGGCATCACAAGCTCGCCATTGCGTCGCTCAATTCCCCATGAGGGGAAGCGAGCTCTTGGTACAACCTAAAGGCAGGAAAAGATAAAAAGGAGGATCACCCCCCAATCCAGGAATTACAATTCCAGCGTTGCGACCGATCGCGTCAGACTCTATCAAACGAGACACGGGAATATTCCGGCAGTAGGAGATCGCCGCTCTCTCCAGTCGACGGAGCCATGATGGCTATAGGGATGCATGGGAACGGATACACCATCCGCCGGCGACGAGCCTGGACAGAGCAACAAGGTCCCTGAATGGTTGTTGAGCAGGTACGGCCACTAAACTCCAAGATGTTAGCCTCGGTGACGAATTGGGTGGGAGTGAGTTGGAGAAACGGGAGAGCGAAGTCGGAAGCCGCGGCCTGGGCGATAAGGCGTCAAGGCTCGAGTACTTAATCCCATCGGCCGCTATCCTCCGATCTAGCTTGGAGGCTGACTTGTCTCTGCTGACCTTTTTTCAATTTATTTCTCCCTTCATTTTCTTTTATTATCTTTCTTAAGGGAGAGATATTATTGATATTAATAATTGGTGTTTTAACGGTGCTCTGACTGGTTTTCATACACAGATATGCTTTCCACTACTAACCACCGTCCATTTGTCTTTGACCCTCAGACGATGCCAAACCAACACCAAGCGAAATGAACTCGCCCTGGCGGTTTGACTCGGCCGGACTCCCGATGGACTCCGCTTCTCGTCCTTCCAATGTCGTGACCACCACCCCAGATGCCTACCACTACTAGTCGACGGCTAGCTACCCCGGCCAGGATAAGGAAACGGAATACGGTCTTAACCCCGACTTAGAATCAGGATATTACTCAACGATAGCTGGATGATTGGTCAAGTGCCATGCACGACCTGCATGGCTGATGGGTCGATCGATCATTTCCCCCTCCGCCTTTCTGGGGTAGCATCGCATGGCCACGGAGTACCACTGCGACATGAGCAATAAACTTCCATGAGCTGGGGGAAATTATTTACCGCAAAGTATCTCAGCGTCCATGTGTCGCATTGACAATGGCTATCACTTCCCATCTGGGTACTTCGACGACCTTCAAATGGGTCCACCACCGGGCATCACGCGGGGGTGAACCGTCGACAATGGGACGATTTGAAGCCGCTGATAAGTCCGAACAGCTGGTTTGTCGTGCTTACGAATGAGATGTGCCGTGCTTATCTGCCAATCTGAACGGCAAATCGACTCTTCTGAACTCCCCAGGATGGGTTTATATTACCTAACAAAATTTCCGAATTCGGTTATACCGGTGGCGTTCGACGATTGTTAATTGAAGGCGCTTCATCAAACTAGCCTAGGGCGCGTGCCGCAACCGAGGGAGGAGCTGATCAAAGACATTCTCTTGACCGAAAAATGGCGACATTATTCGCCCCCAGTGTGGGTGCTGATAAGGGGGAAAAAAAAAAAAAAGCATTTTGTGTGCGATCACCAAAGGGGGCAAAAAGACAAAATTTAAAAATTCTTTCGCTGAATCGAGAACATGACACGACCAATGCGAACAGATTTTTTTTATTTACCTTTTAATCCTTTTTTTTTTTTTTTACCTTTTTTTTTACTATTGCCATCTTTGAAAAGGAATTTTTCGACTGGGCGGCTAACTCCGACTGGTCAGTGAGCTTGTGCCGGGCTTCGAGAATCCGCTGCAGAGCCAATCACAAGAGTTTCCGGTGTTCTCGACGGATGCTTAACCGTTCTTGTCATCTCTTGTCATATCTCAGCATCTCTTGTTTGGGGTTACATCCGAGGGCACGCTAACCCTTCCCCATCGTGCTCTCCATTGGTTTCTCGCCGTAATTTTGCCGGCGATGGAGCCTCCCAGCTTTTCGTTGATCGCATGGGTCGCTTCGAATGATAAGACGGTCCCGCATCGGATCCCAGACCAGGCCTTCCAAGTTCCCACCAGGAACAGGAATATAAGGTGGCTCTCATTTCCTTCCTGAGTTCTTGACCTCGTGCGCAACCGTTGAGACGAATTTCTGACCCGCAAAACTATCCCCTCTTCTTTCTGGGGATATTTTCGCCTGGCCCCCTTCAATATGTCTTCAGATCGTGAGGTTGAGTTGTCTCAGTAAGTGTCTTCTTCTATTGCTTTATATCTTCTTGCACTCTTCTCTATTCTCCACTGCTCGTCCGAATCCTTCGTTCACGTCTAACCTCTATGCAGACAACAGGCCCAATACAATGGCACGCATGTAATCGATGAAAAGGACGGCCTTGAGGCGAACGAGAAGGCTCTAGGACCTACCCCGGATGGCGAAGAGCCCACCCAGGATGAAATCAAGGGCCTGCGCCATATTGCGGAGAACCTGCCCGTCTCCGCCTGGCTGGTCGCTATTGTCGAACTTTGCGAACGTTTCACATACTACGGTATGAGCGGTTTGTTCCAGAACTACGCGAACCTTCCTTTGGATGGTAGCCAAGGACGTGGTGCTCTGGGCCTCGGTCATCAGGGTGCCACTGGTCTTACCACCTTCAACCAGTTCTGGTGCTACGTCACTCCCATTGTTGGTGCTATTGTTGCCGATCAGTACCTTGGAAAGTATAAGACTATCGTTGTCTTCTCCATTATCTACATGATTGGTTTGCTCATCCTGGTTTGCACTTCGATTCCCTCGTCTCTTGAACATGGTGCTGGTTTGGGAGGCTTCGTCGTCGCTATCTTGATCGTTGGTCTGGGAACTGGTGGTATCAAGAGTAACGTGGCCCCTCTGGTATGTAATCACCGACGACGCCTGGATGCCATCTCTTGCTAATATGAATGTAGATTGCCGACCAATACAAGCGGAAGAAGATGGCTATCAAGACCATCGCCAAGACTGGCGAGCGGGTGATCATTGATCCTGCCTTGACTATTCAACGTATCTACATGATCTTCTACGGTTGCATCAACATTGGCTCTCTCTCATTGCTGGCTACTCCTTACATGGAGAGAGACATCGGCTACTGGTCCGGTTATCTGCTTTGTCTGTGCATGTTCGCTTGCGGTTCCTGCGTGCTCATCATTGGACGCAAGTACTACGTTGTCCGCCCTCCCCAGGGTTCTATCATCACCAACGCCTTCAAGGCGCTGTGGATTATGGTCATCAACCGTAATATGGATGCGCCCAAGCCAACCTGGCAGGCCGAGCACGGTGGCCGCAACCCAAGAACCAACTTGCCTTGGGACGACCACTTCATCGACGAACTTAAGCGTGCCCTGGTTGCTTGCAAAGTCTTCGCCTTCTACCCCATCTACTGGGTCGTCTACGGTCAGTTCTCGGGTAACTTTGTCACCCAGGCCGATCAGATGGAAGGGCACGGCGTTCCCAACGACTTGATGCAGAACTTCGACCCTATCTCCATTATCGTCTTCATTCCGGTTCTGGAGCTTACGGTCTACCCCTTGCTCCGTCGTTTTCGCATCCAGTTCCGCCCTATTACCCGTATCGCCTTGGGCTTCATTGTCGCCTCGTTGGCTATGATGTACGCCGCCATTGTTCAACATCTCATTTACTCTGCCGGACCCTGTTACGAACACCCTGGCTGTGATGCCTCCATCGTCAACGGACAGACGACTGGCAATCACGTGCACATTGCCATCCAGACTCCTGCCTACGTGTTCATCGGTCTCTCCGAGATTTTCGCGTCGGTGTCGGGTCTCGAGTACGCTTACACCAAGGCGCCCCCGACTATGAAGTCCTTCGTGCAGTCCATGTATCTCCTCACCAACGCCTTTGGTGCCGCCATTGCCGAGGCTCTTACTCCTGCTGCTTACGATCCCGCCATCCTGTGGATGTTCGTCGGTCTTGCCGTTGCTTCATTCCTTGCCGGTATCATTTTCTTCCTCGTGTACCGCCATCTGAACTACACCGAAGACGAGATGAACGCCCTCGATGCCGATGATGACGTTGTAGCTGCGGCTCAGCAAGCGGAGAGCGAGAAGAAGAAGGAGGAGAACTTATAAGTTCCTTTTTGTACTATAATTTTCTTTTATCGTTTCTTTTCACATACATAGATACTAATCTCTCGTTCCTGACCCGTGGTCGGACATACTTGATCTCGCGCAATAGCACCTGCAGAGCAGATGAGACGAGTAAAACGAGATAATGTATATACGAATCACGTTCGATCACGTTGAATCAATGAACACTTGACTCACTCCAAAAATTTGCCTCTCTTGCATCCCAATGACTCAGAGTAGACCACCAAATCCACAACCACATGAGTTCCGTACCAACCCAACGACTTGGACCCCGGAGCTGGTCCGATGGAGCGTGTCTCACCATGTGGACCCGCACATGATCCAATTCAAGAGACCCCAAATGGACTGAAACCGGTTAGCCTCGGTGGGACCACCACGTTTTCGATGACAAGATTCCATCACAAATCCTCGACTTGCCTCGCTATCTGTTAATATATATGAGATGTCTACTAAACTACAACCCCCACTACACTAGGAAAATACGGAGTAGTAGTTAGTGTATAACGTCCTTTTGTACCCCATATCACATGACAATGCAAATATCCAAAGGGTAACATAAGTTGTACCACCTCAATAGCTCGTATACGCAAGAAAGTAAATTAAAAATTCTCGTATGTATGTACAGTAGTCCAGCATCAAAATGCAAGAATCATACCATTACCTCCCTCCAAAACCCTTCCTACCAAAACCCACTCTACACCATATCACGCTGCGAAAATTAAAATCTCCCACAAAAAAAAAAAAAATTAAAAACAAAAAAGGAATGGCTGGTAAAAAGAACCCAGGAACCCGGAGTTCCGCTCGCCCTCCGAAACCGATGACAAACATAAACATCTGATTGCCGGAACTCCGTCCTCCGATTCCCATTGGCCGCTGGGGCTGCTTGCTCCACCTCGCACAAATTAAGCTTAGCATTAGTCCGCATTAGGTAGACCCGGGCGGTGGGGATTTGTGTTGGGCTTCTTATCTCTTTTTTATTTCATTTCATTTTTTTTTTTTCCTTTTGTGGGTTCTTTTGGGGTGTGCGGTGGGTGGTTCCTGGTACCTTGCTTTAGGAAGCCCGTGTTGGATTAGTGATCTGGTTTTGGGGAGCTTTTATTGGTTGGTTGTTGTATGGGTTGGATTGGCTATGGGGATGTGTTCCAGGTTGGTAAAGGTTGATACTTGATAGGTGCGTTTCCCTGGATTGTGTATAGTGGGGAATATTGTGTATTGTGTGATGGATGAGTGAGAGATGGGTATAAGTAGGTATGATATGAAAACTGATGAGTGCACGGTCTGTTTTGTGGTAAATTACAGGTACATTGACTGGGTTGGGATGTCTATTGTATGATCAACATCTCCCTCTAGGAGTAAGGCAGTAGTTGATGGAGTTATATCAACTGAAGACGCTTTTGTTGACACCAGGGGCTATCTTTATCTCTTGTGTTCGGTGTTCTCTGTGGTGTCGAATGGTGGTATCGATGACTATCAATGGTACATGGACAGGGATGGAGAACCGTAGGTTGAAAACCAAGAGGTCAAACCCACGGATATGTTTGTATATTCTTCATTGTGGATCCCAGGGACTGTATTGAAGGCTACTCTGGTAGGAAGTCTGCTGGTTATATCGAATTAGCTCTGGTGGCAGATGAGGTTGGACATCCTCGGCTGGACACCTGCCAAGCTGGATTGTTGGTTGGAGACGAAATCAGACGTCAATGATTGAGGGATAGAGACAGCGATATAGATAAAAGTACATCGTGATAAATGTAGGAACATGTTGACACGACAATCTCATCCAGTGATAAAAGAGAGTCTGCAGTCATACCTGCCTTGACATCCTCTAAAATGTCCCGTCGCTTGTCATCGGGCCAGTCATGGAGAACACTTCGAAAGTAGATTGCCTGAGCCCTGATGATGGCTTGCGGAGTGAACATATCGTACGCTTGGATCCCAATTCGCTCAAAGTCAGGGAGCAGATTTTGTCTCACCTCCTCCATGATGTGAGGAAGATCCTGCACAACAACCCGCCCTGGCAGAATAGGACACCGCTGTCTGAGAGCAATGCTCTGATGCTTTGATCCATCGATGCTGACATAGAGCACAGTTAGCCGAATACAACAGCGGCTTCGGAGCTACTGGAAGAGATTCTAACTGATATGCATGCCTAGATGGAAGGCGGTTTGGTTCGGGTTAGTTGGGTTGCGATAGACAGTGTTGCGCAGAAACCCGGGGAATGCTAACATGACTCAAGCCAGCACATCGCCTCTTTGTCTTGGGAGTTTATGGGGTACGATATTCTATCAAGGGACATAAGTACTGCTATCTACCGCCACCTCCATGGCTTGACTGAGGTTTTCGTAGCCGACATCGCTCCGCGATGCTCAGAGTCTCAGACTAGGCGGAGCGCGCAAGAAACTTTCTCTGCTGTGTTCGACTCAGCGTGATCCAAAAGATGGACCACCCCGAATCTTACTTGAGTTTACCTACAAGTGAGACCCACCTTGATCCTCTCAGCTAACTTCATTGGACTACTAGGCAGTGGAGAGGACTAACGCAGAAATGATATGACTATGCCTGTCCATATGCTATTTTAGGACTGCGCTGTGATACCATCTGGAAGGCCTTGTCTCTTAGCATCAAAATACAGATACTGAGAGGTTCTGATGGTTCTTTAACCATAATAAAAATCAGTAGTTCCAGAATTCATGTTTTTAAATACAGATCAAGCGCTTCCTTTGCTGTGGCAAACTACCCTTTCCAGCAACCTAGTATAATATCTCCACGTCGAAGCTCAGTAACATCCGGAAATTGCTATTTCTTATACCGGTCTTCAATCTCAAAATCTACCACCGCGTGTTACCGCCGGATATGTGCCTTGATAGAATCAGGGTTATCTGATTCAATCGGATTTAGTTCGCTGTAAGGAGCTCTGCCAGCGACTAATTCATAGAGAATAAACCCCAGAGCAAAAGTATCAGAAGTCTCTGTGTTTAGGAGCTCATAATCACGAGGTAGGCAGTGTGATGCTTTCTCGTAACCCAGTGCTAGGTATCCAGTGTACTGAGAGGAGTTAAAATCACCCAAGCGTAGATTAAAGTTATCGTCAACAAAAAGTTGCCGTAGCGCCAAATCCGAATAGATAACACCAAAAGAGTGGATAACAACAACAGCTTCCAGAATCTACTGGAACAATTTTGACTGAAGTTCAGGAGTGATGCTATTTTTCTGGCAATAAGTAGCAAGGTCACCGTGTCGATAATATTTTAAATCGATATATTTAACCTTGCCACTGCCTTGAAATATGCACTCAGCGATTCGCGGATGAACGCCAATAATATCGTAAATCATGGCTTCGCGGATTATCAATTGCATGTCTTCTTCACTTTCACTACAAGATAATTTTCTGATAGTTTTTCCGCCCAGAAGATAGACTTCAACAAAGATACCAATGATCAAGAGCTATCAATTGTCTGGACGTTGTGTAGCAGCACGCTCGGTAATGACCGAGCCCGTGGGGGATGAGCATTTGGCCTGGGTTACACTTGTCAGAAGTGGAAATCGATCGCAGGTCTTCCACTTACAGGAAGCTGTTGCTCCTCATCGCCGTGGACTGTTCCCCTGTCTCCCGCTGGAGAGGATATAGAGTAGATATGTCCAAGTGGCCAGGTTACAAATGCGTAAATTGACGACGTAAAGCGCCACTGGACACTGCTATGAGTCAACTTGGAAGCACTATTAAAAATGCTATTGATGGATATATATTCGAGATATAGCACGATGCGGAAGTAGAAGGCATCAGGTTTCCTGACGACGTTCTCAACTTTCTGAGAGAGAGGAAAGGAAGACAACCAGAAAACAGAGTGCTTGAAATGGCTACGAACATGGATTTCAGCAGAGCTTGTCCCTTGGCAGATTCAGTGGTGTGAGAGGTGAAGGATAGTCAGAATGGTCGGGCGGTTCAGTGATCACTGTCTATTACTATAGCCAGAGATCAAACATCCTAAGAGAACGTGGGCTTGAAGCCATGAGTAGTGGCTTGCACGGGGTCATGGCGCGTGAAAGGATGATACACCAGGGTTGATCCATTTCAGCCCATTTGACTAACCATAGAACCTGCTCACGGTCAATACGTCGACAGATTGTTCTAGGCAACTATACTGTTATCGGTTTCTATTCAAGTACTTGATGTCGTTTTCCGAGTTCGGGTTCGGGTTCGGGTATTAGGCAGTTACGGCCTCTATCAATTCTATCGCGGAGTTCTGCGGTAGACACCCCAATATGGTGCTTGGTACGAGTACGAGGGTTTGATCGACAGTGTGGGTCTCGCTTCGACATTGAAACAAACCTATTTGTTGATTGAGCCACTGCAACTTTACTTTGCAACGACAGTTCCATAGTATACACAATGGTATGCGCAATAAGCTAGCTATCATTGGCGCAGAAGCTCATTAGTTCAGCGGATCATGACGATCTCAAGCATTACAAGAATCTAGTCATGAGAGAAGTGCCCGAGGCGGACCAACCCAGGAAAATCCGGGGCAGTGTTGACATTGAGGATGCCTATTCCTTAACCAGTGAACGGTTAGAAGACTCACAAGTAGGCCTCATGTACGAGTACGAGTTGTGAGAAGATCCACAATTGCGGACGATAAGGAACAGTATCAGCCAGTGATATCAGGTCTACAAATAAAACAATCCTCAGTGGCTAGTGTTGCGCCAGGTCTTAGCCTACCGGACATAAAATTGACGGTAACATTATAAGTTTCATATATGGAGCATAACTTGCTTGTGTCATGCAAAACAATGTCTGTGCTGTCACTGGATCTTATAAATATCTGTCTTCCTTCCGATAAGTGGCGGACAATTGTATCCCCTGAGCCAATTCATCTTGTACTAGCTTTCTTTATACCTACGCGAACGAAAACTCGAACATGAGACTCTCTATTCTTTCTACTGCATTGGCATTGGCTCTGGCCTCTGCTAACCCTCACTATGGGCAATGGAAGCCCGCTGGGGCAAATGACTGTACGATGGGAGGTGTCCAAACTCTTCTTTGCGTAGTTGCTGATATGATTCAGTTCGAGGTCCTTGTCCCATGATGAACACCCTAGCAAATCATGGCTTCCTTCCCCACGACGGCAGAAACATCACACGAAACACTATCATTGAAGGACTATCGGCGGCCCTCAACTTCAACGCCTCGCTCGCGAGTCTGATGTTTGATATGGCTATTGTTGTTAACCCGGAGCCCAACGCTACATTTTTTACTCTGTAGGACATCTTATAGTCCCATTCAGTTTTGCCAAACCTGGCCAATCCTAACACATATGCAGTGATCAACTTAACAAACACAACCTCTTAGAACATGATGCAAGTTTGAGGTCAGTTCGCATATCCTCCCCCGCCAAAACTTCCCAACCCGTTTGCGCCAAAACACCAAGAGCTAACCCTTATATAGTCGGACCGATGCTTACTTTGGCAACAACCACGTCTTCAACGAGACAATCTTCGAAGAAACAAAGAAGTATTGGACCGGACCCACCCTTGACGCCAACATGTTAGCCAACAGCAAGTTGGCTCGTCAGGTCAGCTCTAAAGCATACAATCCCACCTATACATTCACATCGTCGATGGAACAATTCAGTCTCGGTGAAGTTGCTGCTCCCATTATCGCATTCGGCGATATCCAAAACGGAAAGGTCAACAGAACTCTGGTAGAATATTTCTTCGGTAAGTTCACCATGCCAGTACCGTCGGTCGCCTTTCTGAAGTTGATTCGTAGAACATGAACGTCTCCCGACTGAATTGGGATGGTCCCGACGGGAGGAAGTTGTAAGTTTGATGGACATTACGGGCGTGACCCAGATGATTGGAAATGCTACCAATCTTATCACTCCTTCTAAGGAGTCTCGGGCGAGTAGACGCCGAGACTTGCATTCCGGCCTTGGCTTGTAAATGGAATTGTTCTTACCTTGGACAAAGTTGGCAGTTCAGTGTATGTAGGTCTGCTTCTTGGGGGATTTGCACCAGATGGGTAAATTGGGATAAACGGGCTTCGCTGCAAAGAGTCCACTTAATAGCACAGAAGTTTTATACGAGCATCCTTTGGATTTTATTCAACTAAAACGCGCCGATCTCGACGATCCTAATACCACGTGCACTAGCCGATACAAGTACGATTCCCACAATCTAAACTGCAGACAAACCCTTTTCTAAAAATACCTCATTCTGGACCTCAGGAACCGGCATATCGTCACGCGAAGACCCTTGGGAATTCCGATCGCATATCACACTATTCACATAATTTCTCAACAGATTGTACAACTCTTGACCCGAAGATGTCTATTTTCGGGTTATCAGAAGTCACGCCAGAAGTTATCCTAGAGATATGCAAGCATCTGGAGACTCCCAAAGACCGTTTGAATTTGGTATGCTGTTCGCGATTTTTTCATGACTTGTGCCTGCCGTTGCTTTATCAGAGGCTATGGACTGGCGGCAAGGATCTTGCCCCAATTGCTCGGGTTGTTCGTACTCTTATTAAGAAACCGGCTCTTGCGGCGCGAGTTCATACTTTACATCTTTTTGATTGGGAGACCTATATCGGATACAATTTTGCGGAATCTGATGAGGCACTCAATGCATTTAAAGAGGACCGTGCTATGGAGAGGGAACAGGCAGATACTAATGAGGAGGCTAACGAAGGCGATGCGGATGACCAGGATGGAATTGAAGAAAATCGAGATGATGACGATAATGCCTCAGATAACGGCAGTATCTACTTGAAAAGATTCGACTATGGTCCGCTACGTGAACAGGCAAAGCTCGTGACCCGTTCTGAGGATGAGACAGACTACTGGATGGATGAAATTACCATCGGAAATGCCGATGCATGGGTTGCATTGCTTCTAACCCTTCTTCCTAATCTCCAGCGACTTGAGATAGAGTTCCCCTATGGGTCATTATGGGTTCGCTGGGTGCTGAAATGGGCAATAGCTGGGCGTCTAGATTCTATCCCGGCTTTCAAATCACTCTCTGAGGTTTATGTCGACTGGGACAGCGAAAACGTGAAAGCTTGTTGCAGGAACATAATGCCATTCTTTCTGCTGCCCTCGATGCGCCGGCTTTACGCTAGTAAGCTTTTTGATAGGCTTGGAATGTTTGAAGAAGCATGGGTGGATAGGGATGATTTAACTCAGGTTGCTCAATTTTCTCCTGTTACACATATTGAAATTGATGAAAGCGATGGGCAATGGGGCATGTGGAAGGTGGTGGGGATCTGCAAGAATCTACAGTCCTTCAAATACAATCACAGTGGCTGCGTGGAATTCGATCCAGTTACTTTCCATGAAGAGCTTTTCCCACTGAGAGAGACTCTTCAGACGATATGGCTTGGCATACAGGAGAGTTCTCATGGAAACTGTATGGAGGTTTCACACCATTGCAACAATCCACTCCCTTCCTTTAAGGATTTCACATCCTTAAAAACGCTCCGTCTCCGAGCTAAGAACTTGCCCGGGTTGAATCTTAAATCTGGGAGAAACCATGCTAGCATGACATTTGCTGAAGCCCTTCCATCTTCACTTGAGACTTTGCAAATTGCCGATATCGGAAACAGGGTTAACCTTCGGACACTTGTCCGAGAGCTACAGGATCATATTGAACATGCTTTGGATTCCACTCCAGCATTGAGAGAGATTGCTATTGAACTTTTGCTAGATTCACCGAGAATGCCAAGACTACTTTTGGATTTGGACAGAGCCTGTACAAAAGTAGGTATCAAATTCTATGTATGTGGCACTCATGACGGGCGAGCCAAGTGGAGGACTGAAGGATTCACTCCGCGTGTTCAGTGAGATACCATATTTTTTACATACAGAATTGGTCTGTAATGAATGAGAAAGAGTTAATGATATATATATTAAGCTGACCTAGAAGTATGTAATTCCCCTGATTCGATGGGACTTGCGTCAGAAGATGAAAAGCACAATGCTATGACTTAATTATTTCTCTTTAATTGATATCTTTTGTTCATAATAATCAGGTCGAACGGACTAAGAGCCCCATTATAACCGACACATTAACTAAAGTTAGCTTCCAAATCGTGAGCACGAAGTACACTGAATACTCAAGCGTATGCGTCTAAATCCTTTATGTACCTCTCCGCAAACTCCTCGAACGTAGTCAACCGCCCCTTGACGATGCTCCTTGTCCTCTCAACCAACTCCCCAGTTCCAGGCCCGAAATATCCGACTTCTTCAAAAAACCTCATCATAGATACAACTCTACCCCCCTGATCACGCTTCATAAAACCAGCATACACATCATCCGGAACCCGCACATACCGAACCACCTTCCCCGACGCCGCCGAAATAATCTCCACGATCTCAGAAAAGCTATACAGCTTTGTCGCAGCATAAAGCGTAGTCTCCCCCCCACCCTCTTCATCTCTCAACAGCGCAGTAATATACGTCCCCGAGTCATTCGCCGCATCAATAAGCGGGACCTTCGTGTCCGGGTCCAGCACACCAGCAACGCTGTACGTGCCATCCGGACCCAACCGCGGCGCCATCATAGTAGTCATATTCTGCATGAACATGCCCGGCGCAAACGAGGATACCTTAATCGGTAGCGTACGCAGGTACGCCTCGGCATCGGCCTTGGAGTCGAAGATGTCCATGGTGCGACCATTCCAGAGTTTCGATGCGTGCACGGCGCTGCTGAAAATGATGTGCGTAGCGCCTGCCGCAACGGCTGCATCACCAACGTTTTTGGTCTGTCTGTATTCACGGCTTTTGAGCTGCTCGTCGTAGATGGTGTTGGTAATTAGGATCACTGTGTGCGCTTGTGCGAGGGCTCTAGGGAGAGAGGCTGGGTCATCCATGTCGGCTTGGACGGTCTCTATGCCTTGGCTGGAGATCTCTTTTGCTGCCTTGGTGGTTAGATCGCGTGTGATTGCACGGATGGAGTATTGTTTCGAGAGGGTGGGGTCGTGGTGGATTGTCTCGAGGATCGAGCCGCCTTGTTGGCCTGTTGCCCCGAAGATGACGAGCTTGGACATGGTTGGTTAGGGTGATTGATGTTCTGTTTTGCTTGTGTTGGATGTACATTATTGCGTCTTGTATCATTCATTTATAGTTTGTGCTGGATGAGTGTTGATGTAATAATGTCCGGTCGGTCTCCTGACTCTCCTTGGATTCGGAGATAAGCCTGTTAAGATCTGTTTTAAGTCCATGCTGGCATCGGGTGTAGTGTCGATGACCGAACTAAGTCTGTCTCTCTTTTCTATTTCTTTGCAATGACAGTATATCGGTATGATTGAGATAGTCATTGATAGATTGTTATGTAGCACTGCTATGGCGTTATGTCCGGTTTATTGGCAATATAGGAGGTTCGAACAAGCAGGGCCAGTATTTGACTTAGAGAATTTCACCTCTTATACGAGCATAGTAACATCCATTCAAAGTCTAGAATGGAAAAATATCAATAAAGGATGAGATACTAAGAGGTACTCCCGTATTCATTCGATTACATTAATGCATCTGATATAAAGGATGAGAAGGGGAGAGGTATTATTGGCGAATCGCTCTACCAGGTACTGTAAACAGACGGTTTCTTCAAAAATGTTAGCCTTCTCCTAAATAAGAGGGTTCTTGTTCTTCATGCATGGAAGTATATGCTCCGGGTGGTCTTTCTATGTCTAGGATGTCCTATCGATTATAGAGATGAAGTGCCATAATCCCAACTCATGCGCTAGAATAGATAGCTCCTTATAGTAGACGTAGGAGGTCTCGCCTGCTACAATTTATCTGCACCATAAAGATCCTACTCAGGGCATATCATTGATGTACAATACCACCCGGTCATCGTGTTGAATGCCCCATGTCACCAATGACCAAGCCTCGCTGCGCTCCCTCATTTCCCTATTCTCTAGTCAGTCTTTGCATAGAAAACGGGCTACAGCAGTCAGAGGCATACACGAATCACATAAATAAGCATTGCTTTACGAGCACTTCCGATCGATCTATTACTGTTAGACATGTTCTCTACCTGAGCAACGTAGTCATGAATGACGTATGCCTGTAGTTCATACACATTTCCCTAGGCCTACTATAGGATAAGATCAGCATGATCCCTGCTAATATGGCTAAGATGTATTTGATTATGGACCGATCTTAGCAAGAAAGCCTCGCACACCCTAGACCTGGACCTTACGTGATTGTTCTATAAAAAGGTTGGCGTGGGAAGATTCGATTGTGTTACACGATCGGCTGTGTATACTAAGTACGTTCCAGAGAGAACATGGGCTTTTTGTGGAAGACTGTAGTGGTATTTTTAGAGATATATGTTCGTGGTGGCTGTTCGTATAATACTAATCCGAGATGACTACCATTCAAGTATAACTAGCTTGGAGTGATTATATTTATGATAATAACTGCAAGATGTAGAACAGAGATCAGGCAATGAGACAGTTTCAGTCAGCGTGCTCTCTTCTGAGGTGTGTGGACCATATCATATCAATGCTTAACTGTCCTGGTAATTCGTAAGAGTTGTCCAGGCATACCATAAGATCTATTAACAGCCAAAAGAAGTAGCGGTGAAGGCTGACAGTGTTTAGATAAATAAAGAATACCGGGGGCATTAAGCTAGTCGACGAAATCTATCCGTCTGTCTGGGTGGCTGCCAAGAATTGGATACGGGCTGAAGGCGTTCCTACTTCTGCTGAAGAGACACGACAGGTGGCGGCTGCTGTGTAAGCCGAGGTGGGAAGATGTCCTGACGCCTTTGGTATAGGTGAAAATGGTGGAGGCAGTGGCCGTTCTCTCGGGAACCTGCCTGTCTCTTGTTTCTTTTCTTTTCTTTCTTTCTTTTTTTTTTTTTT